AATTTTCCAAAAAATCCTTTTTCCCAGACCCGAAGTGAAAACCTTTCAAATTTTCTTCAATTATACGCAAAAAAACATTGTTTCAAGGTGCACTGTTCGCCAAGGTGCACTGTTCAAACAAGAAAACATCAGGTGCACTGTTCACCCAGGTGCACCGTTCAGCCAGGAGCAAAATTCACCGAGGTGCACTGTTCAGTCAGGTGCACAATTTGTCAGGTGCACTGTTCGGACCGAATCGCCTAATTTTGGGTTTATGTGTCGAAAATGCCCAAAGATTATGTACTTAAATTTGTCTGTAGAAGGCGCAGGAATTGCACAAAAAGCTAAACGGTAAAAATGCCCGGTCGATATCTCCCTCCGGAAGACAAAATATATCCTATCAGAGTTTGAGGCGTTTGCCGTATTTTAATCAGTACTTAATTCAACAATGGTTTGTTTCACTTTGAAATATTCGTTCAAAATTTCTTCACGTCGGTTTTCTTGAAGTTGCAAACCTTTCCATCGCCATCTTGGTCGGCAACATACAGTTGGTTGACCGGTGGAAGGGTCTCAACGTTATTTCCTTGGGTATCTTGGCAGATTGAGGTTACAGCTCCGGAGATTTGCACATTCGTCAGAGTGGCGCTGTCCCCATAATTTCCGTTGACACAGGCCAAGGAGAGACAAGGTCCAATAACTTTGACGTTGTCTATGATGACGTGACGGTCGAACTTTCCATTGACATAACAGTTACCGCAAGAACGGTAGAGTCTTCCGATGTCTCGTCCCTGAAAGAGTGTTGAATTTCTCCTTGAAGGCACTTACTTGGAAGTTCTTGATGGTCAAGGTGCCTCCTCCATTGTGCTGGAAGACTTTGTCATGCCCTTTCTGCGCACCTCCTCCAGTCACACTGTACACAGCATTCTTTTCTCCCAAGAAGGTAGCAGCGTCCTCTCCGACATCCTCCCACCAGACATTCTCGATCTTACAGCTGCCGTTGCAGTGGATTCCATCGGCCGCTGGATATGAAATGACTAGATTTTGGATGGTGGCACCGTCACCCAGCAGGAAGATTGGTGGCTGTCCTTCTTCTACGCCACCATCGGCAAAGCCGGAGACGTAGCGCTCCATTTTGCCATCGAAGACAGTGCCGGCTTTCACTTCAATCGTTTTGGGAACCTTTTGTGTGGACGTCGGCTTGGGCCATGCTGCGAATTGGGCCGAAACATGGGCCGCCAGAAAGAGTACAGTGATGGAAATAGCCTTCATATTGAAAGTGTGTGGACGAGAAGGGCGTAAGTCGGCTTAAATAGCCGGATAATTTTACCGGTTACTTACGACATCTGTATTTGGCCAGCTTTGACTTTAAAAGTTCATGGTGGTTTGCCTTCAAAGATAACAAAAATAATCATTCTACAGTGAATGTTCAAATGCACAGCCGTCCTTTAAAGGCTGACAGACAAATACGGTTTTTTTCAGACAAAAAAAAAACGTCGGCAAACAACCGTAAAAAACAAAACAATGTGGACTGGGAGATATTAGTCCAACAGCTTGAGCTCTTCATTCACAATGAATCAGAAAATGCATGATGTTAAGAAAGCCAATAATCTGTAGGAAGATGGCTGATTAAATTACATTGATCAGTTTACAGATGGTAAAAGACAATTTTCCCAAACAACCCTCGGTTGGGCCGGCTTAGGAACTTGAGGTTCCCATTTACTGTTGGTTCCAAGAAATTTGACATAAAGTTTCTTGGCGTTCAAACGAGATGTTCCTAAAACTCTTTTTGCGGTGGAAAGAAGAGGATGCGGTTTTTCGACTGATTTTTTTCACCAAGACGAAAAGCAGTGTATTCGGCAGTGGCTTTTGCTTTTATGTTATCAAACCTTAATAGCTTGTGTGTGATTTCCGACAGTTAAGAAATGATAAATGCGCATGTCTTCGTTTACCAAGAATTCGGCGAAGGAATGGCGGGGGCTTGCCGTACTGGCGCACGGCAACCCAGGGAGTCTCCCGCCTCGTTTCGGCGCTTCGCCCACCTAGTATCGGTTGAATTCAAACGAAATGTCAAAAATGAATTTTCGTGTGGTTTTCCGACCGAAAAATATTTTTCTCGGAATTATTTTATTTCTTTTGTGAATTTTGACACTTCGTTTGGACGAAATTCAAAAGTGGGCGGGAGACATTTTTGTTCTATTTTGGGTTGCCGTGTGGCGGAGCTTAGAGCGGGAGGCGGAGCTTAGGGCCCTGTGCACTCACCAGAATCGTTTGCTTCTTCATCATGAATGGAGAGCTCAAGCTTGTAGACTAATATCTCTGTCCACATAGTTTTGTGTTTTTTTCAATAGTTGTTTGCCGACAGTCTTTGAACGCGTGTTTGTCGGCCATCCTTTAAAGAACGGCTATGGATTTGAACAAGCACTGCAAAATGGTAATTTTTGTTACACTTGAGGGGAAGCCACAATGAACTTTAACGACAAAGCTGGCCAAATAAAAGCGTCGCTTGTAGCCGATCTCCTTACGCTACTATATAAGCCGGCGTACGTCCTTCCCATCCACACACTTCAATATGAAGTCTATTTCGCTCGGTGTACTCTTCCTCGCGGCATACGTTTCGGCCCAGTTCGGCACACGGCCCAATCCGAAGTCCACGCAAAAGGTGCCCAAGACGATCGAAGTCAAAGCCGGCGCTGTCTTCGATGGCAAAATGGAGCGCTACGTCTCCGGCTTCGCCGATGGTGGCATTGAAGAAGCACAACCACCAATCTTCCTGCTGGGTGACGGTGCCACCATCCAAAATATAGTCTTTGTATCCCCAGTGTCTGATGGCATCCACTGCAACGGCAGCTGCAAGATCGAGAATGTCTGGTGGGAGGATGTCGGAGAGGACGCTGCTACCTTCTCTTGGGAGAGAAGGATGCTGTGTACAGTGTGACTGGAGGAGGTGCGAAAAAAGCTCATAACAAAGTCTTCCAGCACAATGGAGGAGGCACCTTGACCATCAAGAACTTCTTGGTATGTGTTTCAAAGAGAAAATCAACCTTTTCAGGGAGAAGACATGGGAAAGCTCTACCGTTCTTGCGGCAACTGCAATATCAATGGCAAGTACGACCGTCATGTCATCATTGACACTGTTAAAGTTACTGGACCCGCTCTCACCTTGGCCGCAGTCAATGGTAATTATGGGGACACCGCGGTGTTTAAGAATGTACAAATATCCGGATCTGTAACCTCAATCTGCCAAGACACCCACGGCGTAAACGATGAGACCCTTCCAAAGGACAAGACGGAATATGTTACTGAGAAAGACGACGACCAAAAGGTTTGCAACTACAAGAAATCGGATATCAAGAAGATCTGAGAGAGTCGTTCAAAAAGAAACAAATCATTGTTGAACCGTAAGAGATGAACAAAATACGGCCGGTGCACCAAATTTTAGAAGATTATTTTGTGCTTTCTACGGCGATCCAGTATATCTATACCAAACACTCTCGTCGCCCTCAACATTGACTTAAAGCAGCGGGCATACATAGCTTTCGCTGAGATGGTAATCATTAGCCAAGGAACGGTAGGCCTAGAGGTGGCAATCGGGCTGGGCCGGCCCGGCCCGGCCGGGCCCGGTGATTGGGCCGGGCCGGGCCGGGCCTGAGCAGATTTGAAAAAGCCCAGGGCCGGCCTGACCGCTTCGGCCCGTCGGCCGGGCCGAGACTTTCGGCCCGGCCCGGCCCGGAAGGTGGATAAGTGAAAAAAATTAATACTGAACCTGCAAAATAAAGCACAAATGCTTAGCAGAATTGATGGATGGATATTAAATCAAACCTTTTTGACTTATATACTGTTTTACCACCTTTTAAAACTCTTTAAAATCACTGATTATGTATATGTAAAATCCCACCCAAATATGCAAGGACCGGCAAATCTTCGAATTTTTGATGATAAACTTAAATATTTCACTGTAATTTGATTCCTTGATGTAAATGAACGCATCTACGAGTTTTTGATTAAACATGTAGCCTCATAACGTCCATATTTTTACATAGCTAACTTCCTATAGGATAAAAAAAATCGACACAATCCAACTTTTTGGCTAGGTTTTAGGTACCTGTTCGGCTGTTCCGGTCAGCCGACTAGACGTTTTAATTCCACTCATATAGACGTAAAACCCCGCTGAAAGGCATAAAAAGTTCCAGTAGAGAGTGCATAGAGTTTTATCCAACCTTTTTGCAGTAGCGGGCCAAACAGGGCCGGGCCTGAGCAAATTTGAAAAAGCCCAGGGCCGGCCTGGTCACTTCGGCCCGCGGGCCGGGCCGCAAAATTCGGCCCGGCCCGGCCCGATTGCCACCTCTAGGTAGGCCTCATCGAAAGCCGAGAGATTAGAGAATGGTTCAAAAAGCTTTGTTACAGGTAACATGGTTGCACTTGTTTCGTACTGTACACGTCTACTTATATTTTTCTGGCAGTTCTGCCGGACGATGGGCTTCATTTCTGTCGCAGCAACCGCATGTCGGCTTCATGAGATTCATTGTTTGTAAATGGGAAAGAAGTTTCGTCATCCGACACGTGGGGTCATGAACTCTACGTTGTTGACGTCATCGCTAGAATAGACCGGCCACGCCACACTCCAAGCCGAAACATTTACTTCTGTTCCAAAGACTACGTATGTTTAAAAATGCTTGTGCAGAGAGAATTAGCAGTTTAGAGGAATACGTGTTTACCAACAACCAAAAGCTTGTGGATTACAGTTACCGTAGACTTGACTGCTCTTCCGAGTAGATTCGAACCGGAAAGCTTTCGCTTTAAAGATAAAGGTCTTTGAAAATAAAGACATTTATTTTAAAAGCGGGCGGCCATTGATTTTCGAAGCAGCGATTTAATGAGAACTCTTAAAGGAAAGAACTTTTATGGGGGTTCCTATTCATTGACAAGAGATTCTCTAAAAATCCGAAAAAGCTAGATGCGCGAGTCATATTTTAATCATAACTTATATAAGTCAACAATTTGCTTCTCTTTCAAAGGTTCATTCAAAACTTCTTCACGTCGGTTTTCTTGAAGTTGCAAACCTTTCCATCGCCATCTTGGCCGGGAACATATAGGTGTTTGACCGGTGGAAGGGTCTCTTTGTTATTTCCTACGGTATCTTGGCAGATTGAGGTTACAGCTCCGGAGATTTGCACATTCGTCAGAGTAGCGCTGTCCCCATAATTTCCGTTGACACAGGCCAAGGAGAGACAAGGCCCGGTAACTTTAACGTTATCTATGATGGCGTGACGGTCGAACTTTCCATTGATATAACAGTTACCGCAAGAACGGTAGAGTCTTCCGATGTCTTCTGCCTGAAAGAGTGTTGAATTTCTCCTTGAAGGCACTTACTTGGAAGTTCTTGATGGTCAAGGTGCCTCCTCCATTGTGCTGGAAGACTTTGTCATGCGCTTTCTGCGCACCTCCACCAGTCACACTGTACACAGCATTCTTTTCTCCCAAGAAGGTAGCAGCGTCATCTCTGACATCCTCCCACCAGACATTCTCGATCTTGCAGCTGCCGTTGCAGTGGACTCCATCGGCCGCTGGATATCCAAGGACTACATTTTGGATGGTGGCACCGTCACCCAGTAGGAACATTGGTGGCTGTCCTTCTTCTACGCCACCATCGGTAAAGGCGGAGACGTAGCGCTCCATTTTGCCATCGAAGACAGTGCCGGCTTTCACTTCAATCGTTTTGGGAACCTTTTGCGTGGACGTCGGCTTGGGCCATGCTGCGAATTGGGCCGAAACGTGGGCCGCGAGGAAGAGTACAGCGATGGAAATAGACTTCATATTGAAAGTGTGTGGATGAGAAGGGCGTGGGTCGGCTTAAATAGCCGGATAATTTTATCGGTTACTTACGACATCTGTATTTGGCCAGCTTTGACGTTAAAGTTCATGGTGGTTTGCCTTCAAAGATAACAAAGATAATCATTTCCAGTGCCTGTGCAAATTCAGACCCATCGTTTAAGGTCTGACAGACATGCACGGTCCCAGACAATAAAACGTCGGCAAACACCAACTTCAATTTGATTTATTCACACAAACCACACGATATAAGCATTGAATATATCAGAATCGTTTCCAGCGTCTAGTCGGTGTAAGACCCTTCCATTGCGGACCATGGCGTTTGCGAAAGTCATCGGTCATTCTTGAATCCTATGTATGTTATATTAAGTTGTATTGAGTGTAATAACATCGCTATTAATAAATGTTAAGGGCCAACACATCGCCTTCCTTCAATATAACTACAGTTAGCGGCATTAAACTCAGTACGGGACGTAGATGACCGCTTGTATCGGAGATATCAGCGGCCGTTTGAAAAAGACGAAAGAAGATACACGCGTGGAGCTTTGGTAAGTTTTTTACTGTTTTTAACGAAGAACGCCTACATATTTAGTCGTTAATAGGAAAAAAATCGTTAATTAACAGCAGAAGTGACCAAGATTTTCCCTGTTTTTATGGCAATCTCGTATATTTATACCATAAACTTTTGTCTTCTTTGGTCTCTTTCAACAATATTGGACATGGCTTTTTGCTGACAAATGTGTCATTCGCCAAACAGCCGTAGGCGTTGGCAAAGGCCGGAAAATTTGACAATGTCCCATATAATCTGACGACATCCGGGGAATGGGAATCTCCGTCGCCATAGGTGTCCCACGTTGGGGTCATGAATCTCATCAGCTGTCCTAGGTTCAGGAAAAAGAGCTGGTCATCAGACATGGCGTTGAGAACTCGACTAGTCGTGCGAGGGAGAAGTTGTTTGTGTAGAGAGTAGGTCTTGAAGGCAGCGTAAGCCCAGCGAATACCTGAAACAAAATGACTTTGAAGTTTGTCGAGGCGACAATCCGAACCCGAGGCAAAGATAAATTATCATATTATAGGACCACGTGGACAGGCCTTTCCGTTGTCATTTTTCAAAGGAGATGTGAGAAAAAAATCCCTGGGTCGCACAGATAAAGACCTTGTTACTAACCCCTCCGCAAGGCCGCTGGACGTCAATCCAGCGTATTTCCTGAACCTTTTCGAAACTTTGTATCGTTTTCATTGATTTACAAGAGAGACGAAATGTCGCGAAAGTATCGACACTTTTTTCCTCACAAGGAAAGTACTTCTATGGGGTGTGGAATTACCGGTCGAGATATATATCAAAAAATTCGCAAAAATTTTCTGATTCAGAATATATATAAATTAGCTGCCTAATTTTGGTCTGATGACATGTTTTTGTCCTCAGAAGTTTTCTCGCGACACCATGCAAGTGTCTTTTTGACCGTGTTTTTACCAATAAAAAAATTTTGTTTTGTGCTAAACTAAATTCTGAAGCCTTGACAAGCCTTAAAATATCAAATTGGATTACAACTACACCTTAAAAGTAGTTCCAACGTAAAAAATGGGTTCTAATGTGGCAAAAAGAACCGAACCCGTGTCCCTCGGATTTCCAACCCGGCGCTCTAACCACTCGGTCACACCGCTCTCTTCCGAAGTAAGAGACCGAGCGCGCTTTTGTTGCCGCAGATTTTTTTCCTCGAGAAAAACATTTATTGAAAAAAACTTGCTGATAGACCAAAATTAGGCAGCTAATTTATATATATTCTGAATCAGAAAATTTTTGCGAATTTTTTGATATATATCTCGACCGGTAATTCCACACCCCATAGAAGTACTTTCCTTGTCAGAAATAATTGCTTTTTCGCGAAAAGGAAGAAGAAAAATAAGAAAATGCTTTTTATCGGATAGTGACATTTCGTTTCGAACGAATCACCAAAAAGGGGCGGGAAATTTTTTCTTCTATTCTGGATTGACGTGCTATGTTGTGATTTCGGTGACAAAACGGAGTAGCACAACTTTTTTTATCACTCTGTCATGAAAATAATGAGCACTCTGTCTCACCGAAAATCGCATTGCAAAAATTAAATTTTTGTTGCGGCAAAATAAGATTAACTTTCACTTCAACGACGCCGTCGGCGCAGCAAAAGTGTGCTCATTATTTCTCCGATAGACTAATTATACTTTTCCAAAAACTCGTTGAAGCAGCTCTAGACGTTGTTATATACAGAAAAAAACCTACCTATTTGATCAGCGAGATTCTCTTCGTACGTCATCCCCGGATCAATGCAAAAGTCTGGTTCTCGAGGGCTGCATTGCCCTTCGTACAACTTCTTTATGCATTCGTAGTTTTCGTACAGCGATGTGCTTAGATTCTGAGCCTTTACTGAAAACGTTTATTTGAAACTTTTTTTACAGAGCTGAGCATGTAATGACAACTCTTTTGGACCATTCTTACAGAACGTGTGACCAATCTCATGCGCAATAACAAATCCCATTCCGGATAAAGTCAATGTTGGAGGCCAGTTGACATCGTAAAGGGGATAAAGGAAGATCCCAAAGTCAAAGGAGTTCAATTGATTGGTCTTGGTGTGCATGGCGTTTAGCTGAAATTTTTCATTTTTTGAAAGAAAATTGTGTCTTTTTTCGCTATTATTCCGGAGTTTTCAAATCAAACATACGACTTGAGTCATCAATCTAACATGTTTTCCTCCATGTTCTCTCTCGTAATTCAATATCGGTCGATAACTGTTGACAAGCCTTGAAGCTTGTGGCAGCTCCACAAGGACATCTCTCGTATACCTTTCAAAATTCTCATCATCAAAAATGGGATGATCAACAAATAAAAATTTATTTTGATCCAGTAGATCTCCCAACACCTCGATGGCCTCTTTTTCCATCACTTTGTTTTCCCGGACAAATTTCTTGGCCTCGTCTAATAGCAAATTAACCATGGTAAAATATTCGTCTTTTAGTTGCTGAAAGACAGTCCAATTCCGCTTGATATTGTCGACCATCAGCTTAGTTGTGTGTAACGGAAAGTTGAGGATGATGTAGTCTTCGCAAGTGTCGTATTGCTTCCGGTTGTCAAAAATTTCGAGGAACAGATTGTTGATCAAGTAGGAGCGGGATTGGTACTGAAAAGCGATTGATTTGCAATCGAAGGCTTCTACACTCCAAGCCAATGCATAATCGAAGTTCTTTTCATTTCAGCAACGCGATCGGCGCAGCGACATTAATCCCATTATTTTTCCGGCAAACTGACAGAAGGCCAAACAGAGCGTGCTTTGAATTATGTTTATCAGAATATCCGAACCGTAGCGAATCATAACTATGAAAAAATCCATTCTCATCATTGCAGATGAGCCTAGATGGAAGGTCAGTATATTTTTTTCATACACAGAAATGAAAAAAGCAATTTGATTTTGCCGCAAAACAATTCGTTTTCAAGGCGGAGATGCGGTTTCCGATGCGACAGAACGCTCATTATTTTCCCGACAGGCAGACAGGTTCCTGTCAAAAAAATGCCGGTTATTTTTGCCAATGAAACAAAAAAGATTAACTCCTTCCATCGAAATAATTTTCATTTTTATCAAAACCTCAGCTCTTATTTCAACTATATCTGTAGAAAGTGAACACCTACGACTTTGCTTATGTTATCGCTGGAATAGACCGGCCACGTCACTCTAAACTCGGACACATTGACTGCTGTACCAAAGACCGTGTTGACAAATGCTTGTGTAGAGACATTCAGTAGTTTGGGGGAATACTTGTACCTTTCTGGATATCCAACCGGCCTCTGGCACTCCGCTGCTGCACAATACGCTGCCCTGAACTCATGATTTTTTTGCCAAATCCATGAAATTACAATATCTAGAAGTTAAACCTTACCATTTACTCGCGCCAGATCCCGTATTTTCCGGCTCTTTGAAAGCGATCCGACTAATGGAGTGGTAGTCGAAAATCTTCCGGAAAACACTTGAGCCCCTTTCGAATAAGCATTTGTAAACCCGGGCCAAAATTGCTGCATATTTCTCATTATCGCGGAGTTGATCCATGTGAACCGGGAATTTGACATCATGGAATTCGCGAGCCAAAAATTCCGCGGTTTGTTCGTATGTGTACTCAACAGCGATCAATGGAAATTCTTGTGGATTACAGTTACTGTAGATTTGACGGATCTTTCGGATGGATGCGAACTGAAAAGCGGTGAAATATGTCTTTTTTTGGACAAGGGAAATGATGATTTTCGATGCTGCTATCTTCGAGAAATTTAGCACGCCTAAACTAACAGGGGAAGTACGCCAAGTGCGACGCTAATTTTTATGAAACTTGGTGCAAATTTAGAATAAGTTTTTCTAAGGCATATGTGAAGCTCCTAGCTCGCGTTTTTTTTCAGAAACTACCGAGATTTTTAGGTCAAAAATAGACGAAAATGTAGCAAGTTTTTGCGAATTTTGGCATCAAAACTTTCAGGCCTATTTCTACAGTAGAGGGTAATTTTTCCACAAAAAAAAAACAAATAAAATTTTCCGCGCGAAACTGGCAAAGGTATGGCCTAAATTTTTTTTCCCTCTGACCGCCCTCCGCGTTTCGCGTACTCTGCCGGCCGCAAAGACTGTTGAATATCTCGGTTGTGGCTGCAAAGCCCGAGCTAAAGTGTTTTGGAATTGATATGTGGGCTAGGCCTATTTACATTTTTACCACCATTTTTCACACCGTCTTCCCTATAAATACAATGGGGGACCTGATCCAATGGCAAAAAACGTTCCATTTTGCATCCAGGAAGTATCAGAAAATGTGGCAAAATATCTCCCTCTCCAAGTGAAAAAAAACTCAGACTTCAAAAGCATGCCCACTCTTTTTTTGAGGAAAAAGGGCGCGTCCTTCAAAACGAAGTTTTTTTTCACTTGGAGAGGGAAGCATTTTGCCATATTTTTGATACTTCCCGGATGTCAAATGGTACATTTTTTGCCACTGGATCCGGTCCCCCACTGTACATAAAAGACAAAGAAAGAAGTCGCGTATTTTACCTGATTGGAAACGCCAAAGTCACTCAACAGACTCTGATAAAACCCCGCTCTCCATCCATTGAAGAACGTCTTGTCAAACTTTCCACCCGTATAGTTCCAAAAATCATCACAAGGCCGAACAGAAGTGTCTATCATACTGCCCATGAATAAAACTTTCTCCTCCAAAGTGGCATTTTCCACAGTGCGGGTGAGCAAAGTTAGGAGCAGACAAAAATTTACAAACATTTGAATTTTATAAAACCTTCATTTCCAATTTTATTGCGACATCGTCGACGGTGCGTTTTCCATAATTAATTTGTTTGAAAATCACATTTTCAAAATCAAATTAAAAATCTTGTAGGCGGTTTTTTATATCACAGACATTTTCAACTTGCCCTGAAAGCTTTCTAAGGTCTTCCAGACAGCCAACGGCATAGTTTTATCTGTCAAATTGGCCTAATCCCATTAAAAATTTTGATTTTTTTATAAAAAAATTGCAATTGCATATTAATCACTATTTACTCTGTTAAAACAACGTTTGGAACGATAAGAGATATAAAATGAGAGGTTATGTGAGGTATTTTCGAGATTACTGAGTGAAAATTATATTGTACTTGGTATTAAACGCTTTTTGCTCCATCCTCTTCTCCATCTGATTCCTCCTCGCTTTCAGTGTCTTCTCCCGTCTTTTCTGGCTTATCCTCTTCAAAGATGTACTTGAGTTTCGGCTCGACCACATCCATTGGGAGTTCTCCCTTCAGATTGGCGATGTCCTTGTCTCCGCCCTTTTGAAGCACGGTTCTGATGGTCATGGAATGGCCGGCTTTCACTGCCATCATCAACGCGGTGTTGCCTTCGAGGTCTTGGATGTTGGGATCCGCTCCGTTGGCGATGAGGACGTTGCAGGACTCCCATTGACGATTCTCGGCCGCGTAATGGAGAGCGGTTTTACCGTGCGCATCCACTTGATTGACGGCTTTCGTAACTTCGACAGGTCCCTTCGCCTTCTTCAACGCGCTGCAGAAGTTTTTGATCTGAAAATTGCATTATTAGTTTGCAAAATTAACAAAAACTTGTAATTTTTATGAGATAGCCCATGGATAAGATAAATTATGCTAGAAAAATCAAAATAACTACTAGATTTTAGAAAATATAGCTTTGACATCAATATTCCAAGTTTTTTAAGTCAATCCAACACACTAAGGAACAGCAAAATCACAAGAAACATCTGTATTTATCTAAAATAATATAGATAATATAACTCCCGAAAATGTGGTCAAAAGTCAATTCTTATTTTTCTATCAGCTTTATCATACCCTAATAGATGTAAAAGAACCACCAACCCTCCTTAAAAGTACCAAAAACATTTCAAATTCTTCAATTCTAAGATTCCTCATGGATAATATAATTTTTATCTCAAAAACCACTCAATGTTCGACTAACCGTTCCTCGATGACCGTAACTGCCTGCAAGACCCAAAGCACTCATTCCCTCAAAATTCAGACGCTCATACTCGGCTCCACGCTTCATTAGTTCAGTCGCGACAAAGGAACATCCATTGGCCATTATGTACATCAAAGGCGTCCATCCTTGGGAATTTGTGACGTTGACTGACTTTGGATCAGCATCGATCATCTCCTGAAAAAAGAAAACATAGAATTCCATAAGAAAAAACAGCAGAAATGGCCTTTTTTATATCCCATGTCAAGTGTAATATAAAAATATTCAATTTTCAATAAACAATGCAGTATAACTCACCTTAACTTTGTCCAAATGCCCAGTAATGGAAGCTGAGAACAGTGTGAACGATGGTTTCTCGCCAGTTTGTCTTGGCGACGGCGAGAATTGCTCGAGTTTTCCATCAAGGCTCTTGAGCATTTCGTCGAAGGGATTGATCATATTGGGGCAGTTTTTACCCAAATCGATGCTCTTTTGAAGACGCTGAAGACCGTTGGACATCATCTTGGAGGTTAGGTTATCTGAAAAGGCAAGTCCCATCAAAAATCTCATCAGTATATTATTTTAGGTATCAACTCGAAAAAACCCGATAAAAACTGAAGAAATCGAACAAAAAACTCGGTGAAAAAGTTTCACAATCAAAGAAAGATGTGGTTTATACATCTTAGACAGTAAGATTCAGCTTCAGCCGTCCGAAATCGAGCAAGGAACCCCAAATAAAACTGAGCTTTGGCAAGGACAATATCAGGAGAACGCAGAAATATCGAAGACGCTCGGTTCTTTATTGGGTTACGTAATTTCTATAACGCTGTCTTGCCATCGCAGATAAAAATGTGCACATAATTTTTCTGCCCATCTGATTACGGCACCTGTTGCAGAATGCCAAAATGTGTTGGCAATTTTGATTTCGTTGTGAGAGAAAGTTTCAAATCTAATAAAGTTGAAGTAAGTCTTTATCAAAAGAGACGGGCCAAATCTGTCGACGGGCCAAGTCTCTCCCATTGTTTTTATCGCAACTTTTTGAATCTAGATTGTATTTGTTTTTGGAACGAGAGATCTCGAACGATTTTGTGAGAGAGGTCGTCAGTTTTTTGTAGCAGATAATTATATTTGTCAATTTCTTGTACTGTGATTTGAAGGCGGGTAACTAAACTAATCTAACGCTACTCCGCGAAGATAATTTGAATAGGACATCGGTCCAATTGTTATTTCCGGTTGCTGAGGCAAGCTTTGTGCTGAACCTTAGGGTTTAAATTGGGCTCATACTACGAGGCAACGCAGCTACAACTGTAAACAGCCAAGGTTTTTTACAACATCAAGCCATTGTAGTTTATAACTGTTTTGATAATAAAGTTTTGTCATATAAAAGCAATTAAAGTCTGGAAGAGTGGGCGGCCTGTTATCAAAGTCGGAAAAGATGGATCATGCAGAATTCTAGCTGATATGCGGCTTATTTTAGGGTTCGGCAGGGTTCGTCCACCAACTATTTGATGTAATATTTTTGGTATATATTGAGATGATCATATTTTTTGATATAACAGGTATTTCGCTGAGATTTTGGTAATATTCACTATGGAAATTGCTCTAAAATACGTCCTATTACTCTTTCTCGCCGTGACCATTGAATCCGCCTTTGACGACGATGATTTTCTCCTCCGATTTCGATTTGAAGACAATCCCAGGCTTATACGCCAATTTGCCATTGATATCTCCTCCTCCTCATCGTATGTTGTTAGCGCCCAATCAAACCGGGAGCTCGAAGAAGCGTTCGTATTCAACGAAACAAAGTCCAAGACCTTCAAGGAATTGGGATGTTTTAGAGCTCGCTACGACTCAAAATTTAGCAACTTTCACGGAATCTGCGAAGGCATCTATGGATCGGATTATATTCAAATAAACGATCAGCACCGGATCAAGACGACTTTCGGAGTCTGCCGAAAGTTTGATGGAAACCCGACGGGCGGTCTGAACATGCTGTTGATCGCCGGAAGGATTGGATTGGGCCCTGATGCAGAGAAACCCGGAAGTACGCTGAGGAGGGATATTATGAAGACTTGGGAGGAGCCGGTGCTGTGCTTGGCGACAACCAACCGGAGAAGGTAGGATAGTTATTTTGAGAGAGCTGGGGAAGTACAAGGAGGGACCTGATCCAGTCGCAAAAAACGTACCATTTGGCATCCGGGAAGTATCAAAAATGTAGCAAAATGCTTTCCTCTCCAAGCGAAAAAACTTCGTTTTGAAGGGCACCCTTTCCCTCACAAAATGAGCGGGCGCGCTTTTGAAATCGGAGTTTTTTCACTTGCAGAGGGAAACAGTTTGCCACATCTTTGGTACTTCCCGGATGCAAAATGGTAAATTTTTTACCACTGGATCAGGTCCCCCACTGTTTCAGTCTCTCGGGAAAATAATTGTGATTTTCCATACGACAGAGCTCTCATTATTTTCCCGATGAACTTGTATCTCGGCAACAGCTGAATATTACGACGTGCAATTTCCAGGGACTGACTTCTGTTGGGTTTAGAGCCCATGCTTAGACCTTTAGGCAACTCTGACTATCGAAGATCACCGTCACTTTCCTCATTAAACTCTCAAGTTTTCAGAGTTGATGAACGCGTAATTTCCACGGGAAAAAACCTTGCAACCCCCGAGAACACGATTGTCTCAACACAAATAACCCCTAAAACTGGCTTCTGGCAATTCCCGACTATCGGATTTTCAATCGGTACCGAAGTCTTCTCCCCAATCTCCGTTGTTCTATCGACCACAACTCATTACATCAAAGTTCCGACGAAACTCTTTGGCAAAGTGATTCAGGCGTTCTCTGCATTTCAAGAAAACAATAGTTGGTATGTGCATTGCGATGAGGAGCATCCAAGCCTGAGGCTGAAGATTGGTGGGCGGATGGTGGAGATTCTGCCCGGTGATTTGATCGAAGAAGTAATCCCCGGTAAATGCCGTTTGTTGGTGAATCAACACAACAACGATTATATGGTGGTGGGAGCTTCCGTCCTCTACACGAATGGAGTGTGTTTGAATTATGAGATGAAGACTGTGACATTCTACAAACCTGAAATGTCAAGGATTTGAAAAAATAAAATCGGTTCAATACAGGGTGTTTCAAGAAATTTGGAACAAATGATTTGCTTATATGTCTGTGTTCTTTGCAGCTATCAACGAATTTCTTTTTGCTTCTAAAAATTGACAGCGTGCGTTTTTAGAATCTCAAAAAAATTTTTTTTTTCGTCGGCGGAGGGCCCATTTCTCGGCGGAGAAAATTAGGGCCTTTTTTAAAAATCACAGCGTATTACGTGGCGGAAACGCCGTTGCAACGGCTGAAATCAGGTTTACGTAATACCTCCATCGATTTTACGGTATGCTTTTTTTGCGTTTTCGATTTTACGCACTTTCGCGGATGCGCGGCGGAGACCTCAGATTTCGGTGGACGTCGTTTTGGGCCTTTGGTTTTTGCAATTCATGTTGGAAAAGGAGGTTTGGTGATTTTTTGTTGTCATCCGATGCACAGATGGCAAAAATTTCGTGCTTTTTATCCCCGGCGGAGGAGTCGGCGGAGGCTTTATCAAAGGGTAAAAACAAAACTCCGCCGATTTGTCCGCCGGACCAAAAAAATCAAAAATCTTTGAAAGACAATGCTGTTCTGATCGATTCTTGTAGCTGAGATTTTTCCCGGACTCGTAAGACAGCTTTGACCCTTTGATAAAGCCTCCGCCGAATCCTCCGCCGGGGAAAAAAAGCACAAAATTTTTGCCATCTGTGCATCGGATGACAACAAAAAATCACCCCAACCTCTTTTCCAACATGAATTGCAACAGCCGAAGGCCCAAAACAACGTCCGCCGAAATCTGAAGTCTCCGCCGCGCCTCCGCGGTGCGCGTAAAATCGAAAACAAAAAAATGCATACCGTAAAATCGACGGAGGTGTAACGTAAACTTGATTTCAGCCGTTGCAACGGCGTTTCCGCCACGTAATACGCTGTGATTTTTAAAAAAGGCCCTAATTTTCTCCGCCGAGAAATGGGCCCTCCGCCGACGAAAAAAAAATTTTTTTGAGATTCTAAAAACGCACGCTGTCAATTTTTAGAAGCAAAAAGAAATTCGTTGATAGCTGCAAAGAACACAAAGATATAAGCAAATCATTTGTTCCAAATTTCTTGAAACACCCTGTAGAATAAATATTAATTGGCAGAGCATATAAGAGCGAAGGAATAAGAATTTTTTTCGAGCTCGAGAATGTTTGCTGGATTCGCTACCAATTTCAAGAGGTAGCGAAATGATCAATTTGCAACCTCCAAAAAAAGACGTCGGAAGCAAATCGGCCATTCTGCGACGGCGCAAAATTGGGAGGTAGCAAATCGGCCATTTTGCGACGGCGCAAAATTTGGAGGTAGCAAATCCATGGATTTGCGACGTCCCAAAATAAGCCCCGCCCCCTCAGTTTTTCAGCCATCACGGTTTGGCCTTTTTGATGGAAAAACACCGTTTAGGGTGAAAAATTTATCTGATAAATCGTACATTTACGAAATTATGAACAAAAAACGTCCCTCTTCATCGTTATCATATTTATTAATAAAAGACGTACATTTTCATATAAAATATGCGGCTTTTCCACAATATTGTCCAAATACGGCCGGATAGTCGATGGATAGGCTGAAGAACATTTTTTTTTTCCACAATATTGCCCAGAAATGGCCGAAAAGTCTTCATGTGTCTAATCCAAGCATCGAAATGGACATAATGTTGAGCAAAATACGGCCGACTGGAGTGAAACCGAATTCCAGGCAACAATTTATTACCTAAAAACAAACTAATAATACTTAAATCAAATCTTACCTCCTTTAGCAACTACCACACGGCTTTTCCTTTGTCCGATTTCATTGTTTCTGCCTCCTGAAAACGATTTGTAAGACTCTTGCCATGAATAATATAAAAAAATTGGAAATCTCGTCTAAATTCAAAAAATAATAACAAAACAGCTTACCATGGAGTTAAAAAGACTTGTTTTCCCGCCAATTTCGTCCCAAATGTTTATGACGATCTTCTTGAGTCGGTTTATCTTCGGATTCAGCTTCTCTGATGAATTGGCCAACAAAAGGAAACATAAGAAAAGAAGAAAAAGGAATCTATGAAAAAGAAGTGGCGAATGTTTTCGCGGCCCGTGAAAACGAAATGCCACGCAGTCCGAGAACGGATTTTAGGTCCAATTTTCGTGCGATTTCTGTTCATTCAATCCGAATTGAAGGCAAACGAGGGCCGAATTCCTGGTTGGACATTTACGTAAGTTTTTTCTTGGCATTTTATTGTTTTAGCAGAATAACAAGGATTTTCTTTTGACCAGTCGAACCACTTGAAAGAGCTGTTGAAGCCGCTTTCTCCGAAGGCCAAATTTCGCTATTTGGGCACCGTTTATGTAAGCCTTACTCTTTTTATATTATTTTTTTAGGATAAAGACGAGGGTCAGGATGCTTTGGTTTTATCAATAAGGTATGGTCCAAGCGGGATGCGTCAAATTGGAGAAGTCTCTTGGCAAATTTGAAGAGAATGGAGTATGTGGGAAGATCGGCGAGGTAAGGACGATTTTTGTTTGATTTTATCGCTTTAGGACAGAACTGACGGGCCCCATGAAACGGCTTCTGTCCTAACCGTTCAGCCCCGAACACCAGATCCCAGGAAGTCCCGGGCAGCTTCATGTCTCCACAAAAAACCTGCAAGATTGTCCACAACGCCATGCTTTCAAGGCCATATCTCCCTTTTTGCATTCCTTGGCTTTATCGTATTTGTTTAGAACAGATGTTATTCATTCCAACAGGCCGTATGTTATTATCCGTTGTTGAATCTCTGTGCGCTCCCAGGAGGCAGTATTTTTATCTATTATTCGTTGTTAATTAGGAGCCTGATCTATTTGATATCGATTTAGACGTAAAATTACGTTATTATCTTTGTTTTTTTGTCGTGTTACGTGCTTTAATAAAGGTTTATTGTAAAAAAACATATCGGCGATGGTAAACGTGCTTTTTTCACTAGCAATATATTCAAAACGGCAAACCGGAGCGCTAGAAAAAAAATTTCCGCCGGAGTGGGCGGAGTCAATTTGGTAGGTTGCAAATCCACGGATTTGCTACCTCCCAATTCCGCGCCGTCGCAAAAACGCCGTTTTGCTACCTCCTCTCTCGCGGAGGTAGCGAAAACGCCGATTTGCGACCGACTTTTCTCGGAGGTCGCAAAAAGAATGATTCGCTACCGGAGACCACGTCGCAAATCGATCATTTCGCTACCTCTTGAAATTGGTAGCGAATCCAGCAAAAATTCTCGAGCTCGAAAAAAATTCTTATTCCTTCGCTCTTATATAAATGTTTTCATTACTAGTCCGTCCGCAATGTCGCTGAAGTGATGTTTTTATATAAAAAAACAACCTCAATTTGGTAAGGCCATCAAGACATAAAGGTGGTCATATAAGAATCTATAATTTTCCCCCAAATCCCGCTTTCGGTGCACGAAGTCGACGCCCAAGTCGAAAAATTGGCGTTGAGTTAATTTTTCTCAGCACCGGATTCTGAAATCCGATGCATTTTTCTAAGTTTTTCGAAATCAGCGCACAACGTCTTAAGTCTGCACCGAAGGCTTAAGTGCTTACCTTAGCATCAGTCTGTCGAGATAATAATGAGCACTTTCGCTGCACCGATCGCGTCGCTGAAGTGAAAAGCAACTTAATTTTGCCGCGACAATGCACTCTCTCAACGGAGCTTTTTTTCGATGCGACAGTGTACTCATTATTTTCCCGACAGACCAATAGAACGGCTGCGATATAGCCAAAACTTATTTTTCTCTCTGACCGCTTTCAGCCTTTCGCGCCTGCTTGATCGAAAAAAGATTGTTGAATGTTTCGGCTCTCCCTGCAAAGAGCGAGATGACATTTTCAAGAATTCACTTGTGGCCTGAGCCCCGCAGATGTGCAAAATTAAAAGGCAACATGGACGTCGAAGTTAGAGTACTTTGGGTTTCCTGGGTTCAGGTAAATTTGTCATTCAACATAGCGTAATAGAACATAAAAGCACGTGAACAAGAGACCAGTCCGTACAGTTGCATAGAGTCGTTTGAAATGCACGTGTAAAAGAATGCACGTAGAATCAATAATAATATCATTACTTGGCCAAAACCTTTGACATGTGCTTTTAGAGTGCTTTAATTTATTGAATTTGCTTTCATGGAAACACTGGAACAACGGGAGTCGACTTGTTGAAAGTGTACGACCTAAAGCGTTAAAAATTCGGGCAGAAAGCGGATGTTTGAACCAGACCAAATTGCGATTTTGATCAAGATTTCTGTTCTGGGTTGTCTATTCTTTGGAGCGTACACAATTTTCACATTATTTTATTTGGATCAAATCAGAAGGAAGGTAGGCTTTCATAGGGATTTGTGAACAACACGGTTGCTAAAAAATCTATATTATTATGGGCATTTTGCTTATAAAAATTTCAAAATCTTACTGTAGCAGCTCTTACCTTCTCCGGTAAAATTTTTACTTTTTACTAAAAGGGATTTGACTTCAATACGTCGTAAATTGATTTCAGTCCTCGTTGAACTCAAATCTTCGCCTTCTTCTTGGCCACATCGCTGTTCCCATGTGGTTTATGCTGCTTGTTGATTCGATTCTTACAACAATTTTTCTCTTCGACGACTACAACTACCCGTTGTATAAGCCAGCATGGTATCCATTAGACATCTGTAGGGTTTTACAAGTTTTTTTTTTCATTTTTTGTTAGATACAGTGGCGCACCTGATATGGTGGCAAAAAACATACTATTTTGCATCCGGGAAGTATCAAAAATGTGGCAAAATGTCGGCCTCTCCAAGTTAATATCACTCCGATTTCAAAAACGCGCCAGTTATTATATTTTTGTGCGGGAAAGGGCGCGCTTCAAAACGGAGTTTATTAGTTGGAAGGGGAGGCATTTTGATACATTTTTTGACACTTCCAGGATGCAAAATGCTACATTTTTAGCATTTTCTGGATCAGGTCTCACTTTATCTATATAAAAATTTTATTTTTTATAGCCCTTATGGTATTCCTCGCTCACTTGATGGCGCAGCTTGCTGAGCGAGCGTTTGCCACAGTCCTCGTCGCAAAATATGAGGAGATTGGGACAAGGTTCCCAATAATTGGACTAAAAATCATCATTGTTCAATGGATTTACGGGATAATCTGTTTCTGTATTATGAGGACACATGCTCTGAAATACGTGACTGGCTTTCAGTTCACCTTCGAGACCGTGGTTACTGTAACAGTAAGTCAATTTTTTGCACATTTCTATGTCTAGATGTGCTACCTTCTCCCTCGGATTTCCAACAGGATGTATGAAGAGTACAAAAATCCCAGCACCGCTATGCAGAGCGCTATAACGACCCTTGGTCTGCGATACCAAACTTCGGAGAACCTGAAAGCCGCAAATTTGACCAGCAAAATTATTACTGTTCAAATAATTACTAGCTTGATTACTTTTGGACTGCATGTTTGGGCAAGAAATACAACACCAAATTCGTTTGAATGGCTGATGATCATGAAGGGAATGCACGGACTTTTGGGGATATCGGTAAGAGAAGCAACGGTCTTTGTGACCGAGAGAGTGCGTAAAATGCGGAGAGCCGTCTAGGAAAAACATGTCTATTAATTTGACCCAAAAAAACATGATTATTTTACGGCAACATTAACCTCTACTGTACGAGAGGTTTTCCTACAGAAATTGAAAAAATTCATCATGCTTTTTTTTCAGGCAGTCGTTCAGCAATCCATCGTTCTTTACGAACTTCGAAGCAAACATAATTCACGTAAAGTCCTCAATATCTCCCAACAGCAGGCTGCGGCAAGCCAGCAGAGACTTTATTTCCAGCAGTTGGCCGATCAGTGGAACCAAACCTGACATCAACAACGATGACTGCGATAATATAAAAAACTTCTACGTGACGTGTGCCTATAATAATGTTTTTCAGATTAAAGAAACAGTTTGTGAGACAGGTGTGTTTATATAAGAATTGTTGTGGAAAACTGAAAAAATGGGTGACTAACATAACGCGGTTAGATAGCAGAAAATTTACTTCCTGTAATTGGCCGATCATTGGAACCAAATAGAACTTTAGAAGTATGAGAATAGTTCAAGTCTACGTCTGTCTTATCCAGTGCTTTGCCTAATAAGGAAATTGATTGCGAAACAGGTGTGTTAGTAATATTATTTTGGAAAACAGAACTATATAATAGGATGAGTGACTAATGGGAGCGTCACCAAATTAGGTTAGTTCTAGAGCTGGTATAGCGGAAGTATGTCAAGTGACTTTTTTGGGCATGACAGTTTTAGCATGGGTTAAGGAAGGTTGAAACCGTGGGCGTGTGTTGTAATAACTCGCAACACAAGTTTACGGACAGGCTTTTTGACTGTAAGCTGGAGTTTATTACACAGAGGACAAGAGACATCTGTATTTAAGCATCTATTATATGAAGTTTATATAGAGGTCTACAAAGACATGGCTCGTTGTCGGGGGCCCGGGACAAAAATCGCGGTCCGGCCGAACCAAAGTCTCCCCAAGTCCAATTCTTATGCCTATATTTTTATCTATTGTCATGTAGATATGAAGATAAATACTGTGCTCCGAAGTTACGCTAAAGCGAAGATATAATATCTCAAAAAAAGTTTTGCAATTGCATTTTATTTTCATTGGAAAACTCGATGCCTCAAACCCCCAGACATACAAAACTCAAGATCAAAAATTGCCCACAAATTTCGCAACTCCTTCCATAACTATTGTCGTCTAACAGAGCTCCCTCTATAATTATTGTTGTCTAAAAGAATGACAAAATATGAAAATAAGAGAAGTGTTTGGGTCATCTTCAAAGTCTATGTGGGGGATTTTGTTAATTCCAAAACAACCGCCATTTTTATCGCTGTCGAAGCGACGCACGTCAAATTGAGTTGCAGTGGGGGACCTGATTAAATTTGTTTCCGGGAGTTATCAAAAATGTGACAAAATGCTTCCCTCTTCAAGTGAAAAACTCCGATAAAAAAACGTATCCGCTCTTTTTTGTGAGGGAAAGGGCGCGCCCTTCAAACCGAAGTTTTTTCACTTGAAGAGGGAAGCATTTTGTCACATTTTTGATGCTTTCCAGATGCAAAATGGTAGTTTTTTGCCGTTAGATCAAGTCCTTCACTGTAAGCAAAAACGACCTGGTGAATGGGTTGGCGATTTGCCAGAAGAAAGATAAGGAAAAAACCTTTGTCTGTGAAGAAATGGGGAATTTTTGGGGTGGGAGAGTACGTTTTGCGCATCTTTTCTCTGTCTTCTCTGTGAAAAGACGAGGTGTGGGAAGTCGATAGCGAAGAGTCAATTTCGGTCCCAGACTCCTCAGTTTGACGTCTTTCGTCTTTGCTGATTTTTCGGCGACGGAAGGGGAAGGCAATTCTTTTCGGCCAGACTGTTGTTTCTTTTCAAACTTTTTCAAAGTCATTCTTCGGTGTTTTGCATTCTCTATGACATGTTTTTTTGCCCACGCCCCAGCCGTCTGGAATTTACAAGCAATAAAGCGAAAGTTTTGGGACCAGAAGGCCAATTCGATTTCCTTTCCAACCGGTGGAATTAGGGGACTGCCAACCTTTCCAATCCCCCAATGTAATCGAATAACAGGCCATTTGTCCTCCTTTTTAAACTCCACTTAAAGTTTCTTTATTACAATTTCCGAATAGGGATTGTTTTCGGGTTGAAACGCACGTCTTCGACATTTATCACGGAAAAGTAAAAACTTGTAACTTTTTTGAGAAAACTCTTTTTCCATCTCGCAAATTTTTCTTTGGTCCCGGAGCGAAAGCAATCCTTTTTGGGCAAAAATAATGAACTTGTACTTTAAGGCCATTACGTGCGTTTTAGTTGAAATTTTTAACTAAAAAAATGGTACTTTAACGTCATTGATAGATAATAATTACGGCTATTATGTTCAGACATGTTTGATTTACGTGCCGGTTCTTTGATTAGAAATGTTATACAATTTTTGGCGTTGCTTTGAGGGTGCTGGAATGTAAGCGTTAGTACCCGGGTTGGTCTATATTTTGTATGTATAGTAAAAATGATGAGTGAATTTGTTAGCTGTGTATGCAACACGTCAAATTGAGTGTTAGTTGTTGGTTCCCGAGCTGATAAGAAGGAAGCTGTTCGAGGCGAGACGAACGCTCAGATTTCCTGGCCCCAAGCCGCATCAATTCCCTACATTTCTAGTCTTTGCTTTGCGTGAAGCGACCCATTTATTCAAAAATTTTTGGTTACAGTGGAATACGTATGGAGAGCGGTCAAAGAAAAAAGGCGGATTTTGCGTTTTTTGTGGAAATTTCTACAGTAAGGGACCTGATCCAGTGGCAAAAAACGTACCATTTTGCATCCAGGAAGTATCACAAAATGTGGCAAAATACCTCCCTCTCCAAGTGAAAAAGCTTCGATTTAGCGCCCGTTCTTTTTGTGAGGGAAAGGGCGCCCTTCAAAACGAAGCTTTTTTCACTTGGAAGGGGAGGCATTTTGCTACATTTTTTGATACTTCCGGGATGCAAACTGTGTTTTGGAAAAGAGCATACAGGATTGGCCTGGCGATAACGGGTTTTGTCGATAACTGTTTGCCCCTTCGTTTGCAACTAATATCATTTCTAGCAACCAATACCGAGAACTTGAAAATTAGATTGGCAAGGGAAGGTTTTAGTCCAACAGCTCAAGTCACCTAGAGCATTCCAAAATTAGTCTTAACTCGATTGTCCATAATGAAATCTGTTAATTTACAGGAATATAGTCACTAAGCTAGTCAGCTCGCCCTCCGAGGGCGTGTTGACAGGTGAACTTGATGTCAAGTTTTTGAGTACACAGTTTAAAACCAATCTTTCCCATTCTTCGCGTATTGTATTTGAAATTTTGTCTTTGAGAATGAGAAACTTGAAACATTGACATTTGGATTTCCAAAAACTTGAAAGGCTATATTGTTTTTGGGGGCGTACAATGGTTATAGTAATCTTTATTTATGCGGAAGGAAGTGAGAAAAACGATACTCCCAAAATTCGCTTTTTTAATTATGAGACTAGTGAGATTTCGGACTGGGTTAGAATTTCAAAATCAGGATGTTTTTATTATCTTTCCTTTTTTGACTTTTGGTTTTGCAAGAATCCAAAAATATATTCTGGTTTATTTTATACGGGAAGCGCTCGAAACCTCGACGCTCAGGTTTTTATGCAATTTGGCAGAAATTTAAATTCATTTTGTAAGGACATGGGTGGGATCACAAGCTTGCGTTTTGCAGAAACAACCGAGATTTTCAGTCCAAAAGTTGGTCAAAATTAGGCGTTTTTTCTGCCAGGGCGATCATAAAATACAGTTTTTTCAGGCTTTTCAAGCTGGTGAAAGCAACGCTTAAACAAAAAGCCAAAGTTTTCCGCTTGAAATCGGCTAAAATATGGCTATCAGTCTGTCGGAAAAATCACGACTCTGTCGCATCAAAAATCCCATCGCTGCCAAAATAATGAATTGTGTCGCGACAACATCAAGTTGATTTTGACTTCAGCGACGCGATCGGCGCAGCGACATTGCGCTCATTATTTTACCGGCGGACTGGTAAAGGCCTTGTTTCTTTCTGACCCACTCCCCACATTCTGCACTCTTGTAGTTTAGAATGATCGCCGAATATGTCGGCTGCCCGTCCATAACACTGTCTCTCATTTTCACGGATTTATACGTGGCCTAGGCCCATGTTGTAGGCAAAATTTAAAGAAGTTTTGAGCGTTGCCTTAAGAGATTTCTTTGTCTAAGATCATGTGTCTGCAAAGATCTTGAGCTATCAGAAATTCCGCACATGTTTATTGACCAAATTTCATTGAAATCAGACCGTTGCACTCTTGTTAATTACCCCATAAGTCAGTCAATTCTGCAAAGTCCTTCTCGTTGTCCAAATTTTCGGTACGTACCCTAATTATGCTCCCAAATTCCATTCAATCTTAATTAGGCCTCCACACGATTCCAAGCCCAATAACCCTTGAATTCGATTATTTTTTTATTTTCACTTTATCCGAAATTCAACTCGGTTTGTTGAAGCCCGTCTGTGAATATAGAATTTTGTATAACAACCTCGACTTACTCGATTATTTTCCGATCTATGACTATAGTCGATTAGGGCGATGCTTACAGTCCTCCTCGGTCTTTCAGCGCCAATGGAAGATGCGGAAATGGAGAGGGAAGCGCTGTTTACGCAGAAAATGCAAATTAAAATTATGATTGGAATTGCTATCGCTACTTATTTGTACTTTGTTATTTTTACAATTTCGTTGGCGATTTACTTCAAGAAAGTCAGAGAGAAGGTAAGCAACTTTTGAATGTGTCTGTAATGCATGTGATTTTTGAGATGCGGAGCTTGGTTTTTGATAAAACATGGAGCGAATAAAAATCAAAATTTTTTGGCGGTTTACGGAAACAACCGAGTATTTTTGACCAAGAAATCCTTGAAATTCATCAAGTTTTATATTTTTTCAGTTTTTTGGCCGATAAGTTTGTACAAGGAAAACTGTGTACAAAAAATTGAATAAAGTGAGCCTTCGTAGATACAAAGAAGACTATAACTAACAAGTTTGTTGGTATTATCGAGTCGTTGTACACAACTCTAACTGTAATTCTTTGTAGTTTTGTTGAGAATAAAAACATGCTCTGCAAAAGTTGCCGCAAGATTGCATTATTTTCATTTGCTACCTTGTTTTCATACTATAAATCTGTTTGCTAATGAAGGCTAGAAATTAAATTGCCACTTGCAAAATGAAGGATGAAAATTGCAAAAATTAGACAGTACTCTAGTTTGAAAAAGCAGGCGGAGGTTTACGAAAATCTGAACGTCGCAAATTGGCCAAGTCTGTTGTTAGTTTTCTGGGATTTATTGGTAACATAAGGCGTTTTCTGGCGTAAAATTTTTTATGATTTTGGCACAACACTGTACTAAAATTGTCATAGATGTTTTATCACTCTGTCGGGAAAATAATGTGGATTTTCACAAAATGTCTTGTCTTGTTGCAGGCGAGACTGCAACGAAATCTCCAGCCGCGGCTAGCTGTCGCAAAGCGATTTTGTTCGATTTCAATGCGCGACGAATCCATATTATTTTCCCGACAGACTGACCAAAAAGTTCTAATCTCAATTTGTACCATGCTAGGTTAAAATCTGAGCTACGCACCCTCCGCTATTCTCCAACGAATAATCATCATTTCCACATTTTAGGCAGCGTTTAACTCAAACTTCCAATTACTCCTCTACCACCTCACAATTCCCGCTTGGATAGCTATGCTAATCGAAGTGTTTCAAACCACATTGTACTTTATCAACGGGTTTTATTATGAAAAATACCTGGATGGAATTAGCTGGTCATGTCTTGACATTTGTAAGTAAAAAACTGGCGTATTTTAGATCATATGTTTCAGGTCTTCTCTCGTTCTGCAATCATCTTCTTGCTCAAATTGTCGAACGAGTAATTGCCACCGTGCTGTTGGCAAAGTACGAAAAAATTGGCCAAAAATTTCCAACTATTGCGCTTTGCATTATTATTGGGCAGGTGGGTGTTTAAAGTTGTTAATTTTTGATTACTGAAACGTAGTTTATTTGGATTGCTTTATTTTTGGCAAAGAGTTAGGAGGTTGTTTGCGGAAATACCATGATTGCTAATTCTGTAGCGTAATTTTTGGTGTCAAGTGGAAATGAGTAAAAAATAGCAAATAAATGCCTGGCGAGCATGCAAAAACTTCCAAGAAACGCGAAAAAATCTCTGTTTTAATTATTGATTAAAAAAAGGTCGAAGCTCTGCGCAGAGACTACCCTACAACGAAGCTTGAACATTGCGAAGATAGGTAAACAGAATTTGTTTTGCGCCAGAATAGAGAGAATAGAGTATAACAGTACCCTTCCATAACAACTTTCTTGCCACTTGCCATTGGTTGAACAGAGGCTTGACTAAAATTGAGTTCTTATTTACAAGTGACTTAGTGACTTGCATCGGGTGCTATGGCTTTTCGGGTCAATGAAGCTTTGTATCGACTATGTTTGTCTCGATTTGTCGTTATATGCATGCGGACGCTATAAGCAGCGTGGTAAAAAGTCATAAGTTTGGTCTAGGCTTAGGATAGTTTATCACATATTTTGAGATATTTTACATGTATTACACTTATATAATCCGGAGAAAACTTACGTAAAGTGTAACAATTTTTGCTTTTTTCTATGCTAAAATATTAGCTCAGAGTCAAGAAAACGAAGGTTTTCAATGATTAAGATTAGAAAAAAACCATGTTCAATGTCTTTGCCAAGTCATTATTAATTTTTTTCAGTACGTCTACGCGGTGATGACTTTAGTTCTTCTCATCATGATGGAGTTTTACAAGTTTGCTCGAGTCATCTCCAGTGTCTTGGAAATTATACTCAGCCTTCTCGTAAGTAGCTAATGCCTCGAAAAACCAAAATATTATACATAAAATTCATTATACAACATTCATTTTCAGCTCTACTTCAAGCTTCCCAGCATCTCCCGCCGCATTTGTGAGAGCTACAAGGCCCAAAACCAATATGCCATGAAGACACAGAGAGCGTGGAGTGTTCCTCTAACTCTACGGTATCAAAGTTGCGAGAATTTGAAAGTGGCGGCACTGACAGCGAGGATAGTCCTGATACAAGTCGTTGCGAACATCGTTACTTTTATGTTGCATGGTTACGGACGAACGCTGATTGTGGATTCATTTGAATGGTTGCTGGTCATGAAAGCTCTGCATTGGGTGGTCTATATCTCGGTAAGAGGGAATTTCGGTTAAAAGAATCTGTCTGTTCGGAAAATAATGAACGCCCAGTATCAATTCTTCAAAAATCTTTGGTCTCGCTTTCCAGACACAACCAAGATATTCAACGATATTTTTGGTCCCGGAGAGTACGCAAAAAGCGAATAGCGGTCATTAAAAAAAACAATTTTTAGCCTTTTTTTAAGTTTTGTGCCTCAAAGACTGTGTTTTTGTGGAAACATTATCTTCTACGGTAAAAATAGGCATAGAATTCTTTTATGCCAAAAAACGCAAAAAAGTGGAACATTTTTCACAACTTTCAGCCTAATAATCTCGATCGTTTCTGCAAAGTGCCAGTTAGAAGCTTGGTGTCTTTGAAAAATTTATACCAAATTTGAGCCAAGTTTTATCAAAATCTGAGCGTCGCATTGGGGCACTTCCCCTGTCGGTATTTTACCGGCAACCCAAAAATCTTGACGTTCCGTTAGACATGGCTCCTGGGATGGGCCGGGCCGGCCGACGAGCCATGTCTATGTTCCATACAAATTTTATGTATGTAAATACAATTTCTTTTTGATATCATTTGTTTCCACCAAAATATTTCTAATAAAGAGCTTTGTAGGCGCTTGCAGAACAGATCGTGATAACAGTTCAAATTGGACGAGATCGTTGCCAAAACATCAGGCCTGTGAGGACGATGTCGACCGACGAGGAGCGACATTTGTATTTCAAGCAGTACAGTGCCTTGTGGAATACTTAACTACTACCTATACTACTTACACTCTTCGACATCAGGCTGTAAATTATTTATTTTGTTTTTTGAGATTTAATTTTTCGATTAAAAAGAATTTTATGCAAGACAACGTTTTAAACATCTATTTTACAGCTGTTTTGCTATAACCTCTAAACATTCTCCGCCTATCAAATTTCGCACAGGTATTGCGGTAAATTCAAACGCTTTCCGGGATTAGTCGAGATCACCTTGGTCGGCTTACCTTGCATTCTGAAGTGGCGCCGAATCTTGTGCATTACAAAGAGGGGCTGAGGTTAAGTGCCCAAGTTAAAGCAATTCCCCCAAGTGTTTGAAATTTGAGCCCGATCGGGAAGCAGATCCGACGGATACCCGATATTCTGTTGGACATGAGGAGGGGAGACATTTATACGGGCTTGTTTTAATCGAAATTTTTGATACGTATACATATCAAATTGAAAATCAAAAAATTTTTTTTTAACGGTTAATAATACATGTTTTATCATCAATATTTCCTAATACTCTTCTTTCACGGTATCCCAATTCCTCTCAATACATCTTCATCACAATCGCCACTAGATCAAACAACCTCTCCGCACTTTCTCCGACCTGATTACATCACTGTTAGAAAAACATTTTCATGACCTTGAGGATCGGTGTCGCATGCACGGTTGTTTAATCGGCTTTTTGATTGGATTATAAAGGAGAGAAAAGAAACGGGGAATTAATTGAGTCCGCGCGTTGGCGATCACTTCCGATCAAGATATTAGGTATAATCGAGAAGATTAATCTTACATAATATTTAGTGAAGATTCCTAACGAAACAAAGAAGTTGTAAAATGCAGACCAGGATGACGCCAAGAGAGTAACGAAAGAGAAGAACACAAAAAAGGTGTCTTCAATTTTTGATGTTAGTCTGTTGTGAGAATAATGAGCATTATGTCACGCAACGATGCAATTTTCGATGCGACGGTGTGCTCATTATTTTCCCGTTAGACTGATACTTTTGCGTTTTGGAAGTTCACCTTCATGTGCTACATTTTAGTTCCAGGAGGCTCTTCATGGAAACCGGGGCTTCAACGATCGTTTTTACTTATTGTGCACTTCTCTGCGAAATTTCGCTTGGAAATTCTTGCTCCAAAAAGAAGAATCCTTCAATTCTAACAACCACACAAGTCCTCAAGTCAAAAAACAATCAACGCTTCCAAATTTCAGTCCATAACCCACCTCAAAATGTCGTTGGTTTCTACATGTGTAAAAAGTGCGAGTTGGACGCCATGAAATTGCATTAAAACATGTTGAACTTACTTTGTATCGAGTTTCAGTAAAATCAAAGGATAAATCAGTCTGTCGGGTAAATAATGAGTACAATGTCGCTGCGCCAACCGCGTCGCTGATGTGAAAAGCAGTTTGATTTTTCCGCGACACAATTCATTTTCTCGGTGGCGATGCGACTTTTGATGCGATAGAATGATCATTATTTTCCCGACAAACTGATATTTAGGAAAGTTTTCATTTCTCAGAAACCTTAAATTTACACAAGTTCTGTTTATTGAATGGTCATTTTTCGTTGACTTTATCTACCATAATCTTCATGCTTTCTTTCCCAGTCCCTAAACCGTCCACTTTTCCAGCCTTATCTCATCCTTACAATCTTAACAATCCATCGTCGGCCCACTTTGTCAACGCTCTTTTAACAAATGCTTCTCTTTAATTTTGGCATCCCTCCCCACCTGCCGAACAGTGTAAACTTATTGCGTCTTCCTTTCGTTCAATCCGGTGTCCGATTAGGCTTATCCCTTTTGCGCTTTCAACCGGCCGCCGAGCCGCGTTGAGATGTTTTTACAGACATCGTATGTTCTGACCGGACGTCGAGAGTCCCCACCCGACTTTGATCCCGCCGAGATTAAGAGCGGTCTCGGTTGCGCAAGCGAACCGAGATCCGAGTGGATTCGACAGGTTACTCGCTGTGTGTACTGTATAGTACTTGAAGCGAGCAAGTGTGTGTGTTTATATAAGATTAAGAGGAAAGGAGGGGGTAGAGTCTGGCTGGGTTTGAAGGATGAATTTTAGTGGTAAAACACGGCAGATTGAAATTTGCTTTGATTTGAAAAAATCTGAACTGCAAGTCGTGGCAAAAATGAAAAATATATTTCTCATGGTGCATGGGAAAAAATTTACTCATGGTATTGTTAGGAGTGTCCCGTAGCAAAAAAATGCTTTTTACCAGTTTTACAGCAAAACAGATCACTTTCAAAATTCGGAATGCGGGCTATGTTTTTGCTGGAAAAAAAGCATCGAAAAACGTACTTTTTCTTATGGGGTTCTTGCCAGTGTCTCCCAAACATTCCATTTTTTATAGTACTACCCGAGAAGAAAGTCATTTGGCACTTTTTGAAAAAAAGACTTCAGAATAAACGTTTTGTGTGCTGTACAGAAATTGCATTTAAAAAATATTTTTTTTCGCAAAAATCTCTGGGAAATGCTAAAAAAACTTCTCTTTTCGCTAACTTCTCTCTGAGTTTGCTGTAATCTATCGTCTGAATAACTCTTTTGCGTATTTCATGCACTTATGCAAAGCTACAGCTGAAATGTTAAGAAATTTATAAGTGCCTGAGACACATAGGTTTTTGCAAAATTTTAGAAAAGCGAGGCAGCCTCGAGGGCCTTCTTTACGAATGTAAAATACGTTTTATAATAATTTCGTACTCTTTTTATCACTCTCCCAGTCCTACTGTACTTCCTAACGCTTCTTCTTTTCTCTCTCGGCGCTTCCTTTACTTCCGACCACCCATCTCGCTAATTACCTTATAAAATCTCTTTCTTCTTCAAACATAAACCCTTCCTTCGATTGACAAAAACTCCGGGTTTATTGACGAATTTTCGGCAGTAAAAGTTTTTGCGGCAAAATTTCCAGCGGAACACTTAAAACTCTCGGCGGATTCGGTTTCAAAACATGGCGATCAAAACTAGAAGAAAAACCTGCCGACAGAGCGTTGTTATAATGTTAATTGGAACATTGGGTAAACATTGCGGAGCTGGGGGATTTATGGAGATCATAAAGATTGGGCGAGAGAAAAACCAGTGTTTTTGGAGTTGGAATTGATGACTTTAGGCTGAAATAACACAAAAATCTTAATGATTTTTGCTCTGAAATTTGTGAAAAAAATGATTTTTTAAGTGTTTTCACCTAAAAAATCAAAAAATTTTTTCTTTTGTCAGTCTGTCGGGAAAATAATGACCATTCTGTTGTGTCGGAAATCGGATCGAAAATCGAAAAAATGAATTGTGTTATGACAAAATCAAAATTTTTTAACTTCAACGACGCAGTTGGCAGTGCTCATTATTTTCCCGACAGACTGAGAAAAGAAAAATTTTTGATTTTTTAGTTGAAAAATCCCGAAAAATCATATCTTTCGCAAATTTCAGAACAAAAATCATCATAAATTCTTTGAGTATGAAGGACAGTGACTTTAAAAAGACCATTTTCTCTTCAAATTTTTTTTGATTTGTGCGAATTTTTTTCAAATTTTTCATATTTTTCCAAGATGATCCCTTTCTGTTTGGCTTTCAAATCCCTGGGGGTCCAATTAACGGCAATAAAGAGAAGAGTCGTCTTCGTGAATTGCCTTTCTTCGGCGGTTTTATTAGTTTGTGCGTTTAATGAGCTTCAAATCTAAATATGAAGAAGGCAGAGAGGGCGCTTAATTGACACTAAAAATTGGGACATCTTGAAAAACGAAGGGATATGGTTGTAAAGTTGGGAGTTGTAAAATACGATGAGCTTAAGTGGAGTTTTCAAAAATTTTTTATAAAGTTTTGATATGGCAAAAAAAATCTTGATTGTAGGATGTAAATAATAAGCGAATACGCTATAATATACATGCAAAATTGAAGGACATCAAAGACTCATGATTAAGGAACCATTAGCTTTATCTTTTGTAATTTTTTAATTTTTAATGCTCATAAAACTATCAAAAATATAGTAAAACCTGCCCATCTTCATTTGCTTTCCACCAAATAATCTAGGAATCATCACTTGAACTGCTAATCCCTCAACTCCCCTAACATCTTGACCTTACACTTGCCACAAGTGGGCAAACAAAAAAACTCCAACTCAATCATCCAATATCAATTTATTTTCACCATACATTAAGGCTCTATTATTAACAATATAAATAATACATTCGTATACATCAATACTACTTTGCGGTTACAATACGTGTGTACCAAAGCTGGAAGAAAAAAGAAGTTTCTGAGGATCATTGGGTTTGTGGAACATTTGTTTGTAATAGCAAAAAAAGCCGAAAGCCTAGAAGTTTTGACATGGAAAAAGGGGAGGAAATATATATCGTACAATACCATGAGTAAATTCTTTCCCATGCCGTTTATTACAAGCCTCAAGCGGAGAGGATGTCCGTGACGCCGAAGGACTTCTTGACGTTCGCCGGGAACGTGGGACTCGGCGTTTCTTTGGTGGGTTCGGGTGTTGGACTCGACGAAAAGCTCTTCGTTTCTAGTTTGGGTAATTTCACATCGTCGTCGGAGTGATGCTCCTCGGATTCTGGCCGAATGTCGGCCACCGTGAGCTCTGATCTGACTTCTGGTGTTGTTTTATTCGAGGGTGACGCGGAATTTGTTTCAGGGGCTTCGGAAGGCGCTTCGGAAGCGACTCTTTCGACAGAAGAATTCTCAGTCGTCTGCTCTGTTGATGAAGAGGCTTCTCCCATCGCGGCGTTGCGTTTCAAGTTCTCCATGTTCTGCCGCTGCAACTGCGCGAACTTGTTCACCATCGCCGCCGCCAGCGGGTTGAAGCCGTTGCGCAGGAGCTGCTGATGCATGAGCATGGCGAGCATTTCCGGATTGGCGGGCGGGAAGACGCCGTTTCCTTGCTGCTGGCCCGGAAACGGCGGATAGCACGGCATGAGTGGGCCAAACGGCGGAAACCCGAATGGCATGTCTTTGCGGCCCGCCATGCCCGGCATCGGGAAGGGGAGCTGGCGCAGCGGCATGAATTGGTTGTCGCGGCGTTGGCCGTTGTTCAGCGAGGCGGACTGGCCGTTTTCCTGAAAGGATTTGGGTTAGAATTGGGGATTAGGCGGTGAAATAGCCAATTAGGCGGATTTGAAGGGCTAATTTGAATATTTAAATTTTCAAAAAAAATAAAAATCCAAAAAAAATTTCTAATATTAAAAGCTCTATCGTGACTATTCAAACGCCTAAATTTGAATATTAAAAATCAAAATTTTCAAAATTTGCATATATCTCCTCAAATTTGCATAATTTTCAAAATCTTACCGATGGACTGTTAAACATCTTCCCAGAGCCGCTGGACGGCGACTTGGAGCTTCCCGAGTGATTCAGATCATTACTCGACGAACTCCTCGGCCTTTTTGCGGGAGTTTCATCATCATCGCTGTCATCCAAATTGAATCTGAACTTGGAATCTGGATTGGGTGAATATCCAGAAGTTGAACCGGACTCATTCAGATGCCTTTTCTTCTCGCGACGACCGGCACCAGTGTCGCGGAAACCCTTGGCGAATGGATTGTTGTCGATTTTTAGTTGGGTTACCTGAAAAATACAGAGAATTAGAAAAAATGCTTGAAACAACAAAAAATAATGTGATTTCTGAGTAAAAACTTGAAGAAAGCCAAATTTAAGGCACAGTACAATATTTTAAAATGCAATTAAAGATGTTACAGTACCCTAATTTACCAATATAAATCTTAAAAGAAGCCAAAATATTTGCGTATCGTCTTTTCCCCCGTCCTTTTTCTTCTCAGTTTCGCCGCTAATCCCTTAACACTGATAGCGGGGATGATAAGCGTTTTAGCGGCGGCTACATGAAGAAACTTTTCATCTACCGAAAACGTTTCCTAATACTCGAAAATGAGGGGAAAATGAGCCGAGAATTAATCCGATGAACAAATGGAAAAGAGCAAAGAAAAAGTCTGTGATTTTTAGCCGAAAAATGATATTAAGACTGGTAACTGAACGCTCAGAGTATGGAAATTTTTTGAGGCTTAATTTTGAAATTTTGAATATTCTAATTTTTGGTTTTCAAAATTTGCATAATCAAAATTTTGGCTATTTTTTACTAAAAGAGCACTCAAAAAACCAAAAAAAAAAATAAAATTTAAAAAATCATCAAAAATTTGAATATGCAAATTAATTTTTCTATCCAAAAAACGACGGATACGGTAGGAGTGTTTGTGTAAACGATATGATCGAACATATTTTCCATCGAATCGGACATTTGACAACCTTCTGTTGCAGCAAATAATCGACAAATGTCCGCCGAAACAGCTATGCAAATAAACAGGGAAATTGGATTTTCTCCTGGATTTTTTAGTTTCAAATTGGACTGTAATTGAACAGTGGAGAAAGAGGAAGAAGTAGAAAGAGTTATATATACTTTAGAGCATAATTAAATTCAAAAATTAGAAAAAATCCCGTTAAAATTCGAATTTTTGATGAAAAATTCGAATTCCATTAAAATTTTCACTCACTTTTTCGTTTTGATACGCCGTAACCGCGATGAAAACCGTCTCTGGAAATGTGAAAGTCTTCCACATGGTCAACTTCAGTTGTTCCATACTATTACACCGGGCAATGTGAACACGAGGCTGGTACTTGTGCATCGAATTGAGGACGGTCTGAAAATCCTGGGCTGTTATTGTAATTTACTCTAAGTTTATGGGGTTTATGTTATAAGCATTGTGTCTGCATGGTTCTGTCTCTCTATTTTACATTTTAAGATATTTTTAACGAGATTTTTTAGTTGAAATTAACTTTTTTGCTTGAAAACGGTAGTTTTTGATAGGTAAATGTCTTTTGTCGACAATAACTTTTTCCACAGATCTTTGACAAGACTTCCATTGTTGTTTTAATATGTTATCTAATCCATTCTATCAGATTAAGATTGATTCCTCTTTGTTTAACCTCCTCTTCCCACAGTAATCCCCAAAGTTGTCCCCATTTTTCACCTGTTCTGACCCCATTTTTCCACTTTCCTTGTCCGTTTTTCAAATTGACAAATCTTTTTGTTGTTAATTCATCAATTAGCGCCTTGTAAACGAGCTGGCCCTCGGTTTACCATCTCCCTTCGCCGCCCATTTCTCAACTCGTGGCCCCAATCAAACAGCTGACGCTCAATTTTCTTTTGTTTGGCATCGATCCCTCAAAAAATTTGGAGGATTCGAAAATTGGGCGAACAAGATTTAGTGGAGAGAAGGCGAATGGTTGGAGGGGGAAATGAAAGGGCATAATAAAATACGATGACTTTATTGGACGGGGATTTGAATATTCAAAAAAGTAGGGACGAATTTGGGGGGCACTTGGAAATTGTGGCAAATTTTGGAAAAGTGAGGTGACAAATTAAAAATGGTTTTGTATTTTAAGACAGTTTAGATACCATTGGACATGTTGGTAAGCATTGAATTAGAGTCAGAGATTTTTATGACAGAAAATTTGAGAAAAAATGAAATTGGAGCAACCCATTGAAGGACACTGTAAAATATTGCAATTTTTTCGTATTCTAGAAAATTTCAGTGTGCGAAATGGTATTCGCAGTGAGTCATGTTGCTCTTCGAATATTTCTGATAGCATAAATCATCAATTTTTTAATTGAATTTTTCAAAAAATCGAAGTTTTTCAAAATTTTGGTTTAACCTTGCCAAGTCCATTTCTAGCTTGCAAAGGCGGTAAAAAGCATTTAAAACTAAACTTCAAAGCATATCAAGTCCTCTGGATTAAATTTCCCCCCATTCCCCAACTCTCCAGACCCCCCAACTACCGTAAATTTGACCCCGCACCTGTCCAAACTCTCTGATCCTCTCCCGCATTACGCAACCGGCAAAAACAATTTCCTTTTTGGTCGAAACCTCCGCTAACCTTTCCGCCACTTAATAACAGACCCCACAAAACATATTGTTCGGGGGGATTAGTTTACATTGCTTTACAGCGATTAGATCAGCGGAGGTTTTTCAAAAACCCATTTCGAATTGCAGCTGTTGCGGGGAGAAAATCGGCGCTAAAAAAGGGAATAGCCAAATTACCGTAGTCTCTGGGGAATTTTGAGGGCGGATTTGAAGATTGGTGACATTTTCGGAGAAAAAGTTTTTGATGACAATTAAAAATTATGACAAAAAATTGTCATAAAAATTTTTTGTCATCAAAAATTTCTTTTTGTCATTAATTCTTGAAGTATTTTTATTCAAAAATGTGTTGTCATTTGTTTTGCCACCAAAGTTTCAAATCGAATTTGGCGCCAAAAGTGTTTTGGCCATTTGATTGCGCAATAAATTGGATTGGCATTTAATGCTAATTTTTCAAGTGTTTATGTTCTCTTTCGAAGATGGCAGGCTTTTCATTACTCGGAATTAGCCAATTTTGTAGCTTATTTTGTGTCATCTTTGCCACCAAAAATTCATTTATATTACTTTAGATCATCATAGCTATAAAATTTAATTTCTGTTCAAAACAATTGTAATTTTCGTGTTTTACACTTCCCTAAGGTCTCCAAATTTCTCTCAGTTCTAGTTTTTTCAAAGTACAACTTCACTTCCCCAAAAAAATCCGGCTCAAAAACCCCTGAAAGCCCCTTAAACGACACCTAAAGAGTGCAAAATAAATCACCCCGCAAAATCCGCCGCAGAACTTGTAAATTGCCCCACGCCGAAACAAATTATTGTGGGGATTTGTTGCCAAAATCCCCGCGATTTCTCACCAAATTTCGAACTTTTTTTGAGGCGCACTTTTGCGGTGGGGGCTTAGCAGTTTTTTTGTGCGCGGATTGGGGGCAAAACGGGATTTTTGGGGGATACAGAGTGTTTTGAAAGTTTAGAAACTGATTTTGTAGTGGTAATTGTACCTCAAATTCCGTATTTTACAGGCAAAAATTTGCCAAAAATCAAAAAAATTTATTTTTGAAAAATTTTTATAATTAAAATTTTTTTATTTTTTTAGGTCAAAAAACGGCAAAAAGTTCATTTTAATCCAAAATACAGTAATGTGGCCATATGCAAAGCCAATTTTAACCGCTAAAATGAATTTTTTTGGCAAAATTTCTTGATTTTCCCCCAAAAAAGTTATCTTTTTTCCAATAACTCTTTCCACAGTAGCCTATTCCCCAATCGTTTCCATGCTCTCGCCTGCCGTTTGCGTATTCTTCAAGTTGTCCAAACATATTGCACAATCTGCACTTTCTAATCTCCCTCCGAAAAGTTTGAACAAAGCGCCACCGACACTCCCGATTTATTTCGAGCAGGAAGCTGAAGTGGCGCCGACGGTTGCGCAACAATTTGGTGGCCCAAATGTTTGGGTAACGGGGGATAAATGTTTGAGCGTGTTGATGGGATCCGATTTCAGGTACTTGAGAATTTTTTGGGGACATGATCAAGTGCTAATCGAAGGTAAATTTTGGGTCGGGCGGCGACTTAAGCGGCCTACTGTAGGAAAATTTATGTGGCTGGGACTTCAGTGAATTCTTTGATGTAAAAAACAGCACCTAAGGACTTTCGAGAATACGATAAATCACCAAAAAACATAATTCCTTATAAGATGTCTACTATAATATCCAAAATCCTCCAAAAAATATCCGAAACAGAAAAAAAACGAAAGTACAGTAACCCAGTCGTCCTCAAACTTTGTTGTTAACTCAATTTGCCCCTCGTCGAAATTCCCAGTCCCCAGACACCTTCAATTTTCGCTACCGTAGACTTGTTGTTTTCACTCCCCCAAAGCCACTAATTTAATTCGCCGCGCCAAAGTGGAATTGAAAAACGGTATTGTGGGGATGTTATTTGAACCCCTAGAAATAATAATTACCACGGCCGTTTAATTCTGCGGCCTGGCCTATTGTCTTGGGAGGGCATGGAAAATTGAGTTAGAGATGGGGGATGTGTTGCAGTTTGAATGTTAAATTCGAGAGTCTTGAGAGAGGACCGGCAGAAAAGGATTGTAAATTGAAAGAAGCATTATATGGTCTACCTCAATTTTAGGATTTAGCAAGAACAGCGAAACACCTCGTATTTTACAAACGTTTTTATTTCAATGCCTTCAAGACGTGGCACTGCTCAAAAAATCTCGATTTTACATTTTAACTGTTCTCAAAACTGATCTTTCATTTTAGTACCAGGCAGTGTAATCCTATGACAATCTCACCTTGAAATTTTAAACCATTTTATTGCCCGCTATCGTATTTTACAACCATTTTTTTATTCTAAATTTTCGGGTTTTTCGCTTTCAAAAATTGCAATTTTCCCGTCTCGTCGTTAAAAATATCATCCCTAAAAATTATCAACGACGACCTCATAAAAATTTGCCATCTCCCCTTGCAATGTTTGCGTAGCCAGCTACTTTGTATCATTAAGTTTTATCACCGCAAAAAGTTCATAAACTCCCGTTGCGCTCATAAATTCATTGCTCTCGCCCTTTGCGGCACTGTCGTAAAAATGTTGGGTCGATAATCGATATGTTTTTAGTGTAATGACCGCGAGAACACTTGTCCCTACAACCCCGCTTTGAGCGTTTCTCTGCGAGCTGCAGCGGGCCGCGCCGGCTCTCTCTTCTCTGATTGGCCGAGGCTTTCTCTGCGCTCTCCGATTTTCGCGGTCTCTTTTGCCGAATTTCTCAATTTCTCGTCCCTTCCGAATGATCGACGGCACGCTTCTCGCTGTAATCTGTCATTTCGGCGGCCAGAAAAGAGAAAGAAAAAAGGGCGAGACATGTTCGGGATCAGCAGTTCATAAAAGAGAGAGAGGAGAAGCAAGATGTAAAACGACGCACATCAAAAACCTTAATAATCAATCAGTCGGCTAGCTGAGGGTTGACAGCCAAAGGTACCGAATGTAAATAAATTTTGAGGTCCAAGTGGAAGACCGATTGGGATTTGCAAGTGTCCAAACTGACTTGAATAAAAAATCAGGAATTCGGATTCTTTGATTTTCAAAAATTTTGGAGTGAGCTTGGGGAAAGAAACTGTAGATTTTGCGAAGAAATAGGAAGCTGGTTATACAGTAGTGAGCCTAAGGCAAGATGGTGAAGCCATTTACAGACAAATTTAGCCATTTTTCGAATATTGCCGACCTTATTTTAGGTCAGGTCAAAATTTGTTGAAAAGATTTATTTTCATTATGTCTCTGGACTATTGGGTTGCAGCTAAAGCCCAGTTACAAAATCTGAAGGCCTTTTAGATCCAAAATTTTCAATTTATCGACGCTTTTTACCTTATTTTAGATTATACCCGAGCTTTCAAAAAAATCAAATTTTTTTTCATTTACAGTCTTGCTGACTTTCAAAATTGCTCAAATTTTTCGCTAGAGTGTCCGAACACCTCTAAAACTGTCAACCATTTCCGAAGATGATCATAATCTATCAAAAATAATGACCTAATCCCCCAAAGATCCCCCCTAAAATTGGCTGGGAATGTCTCAGAGCGATCCCGGGTTAATTACAAGGTCGCGCGTGTCAAAACATGGCCCTTCGCTATCCACACTTGCTCATCGAAATATTTATTGTGTCTACGCAATCATGCGCAATTTTGCAGAGGGCATCTTCAAGGTGATTTCTTTTGTTTTTTGAGGTTAATTTGGGTCTTGTGAAGAACTAGAGTTATCTATTGTAAAAATTATGATTTTACAGTATCATATACCATCTTAGCTAGCTAATTCACTGCCATAAAATTCGAGATTTAGTCAGATGCCCCCCTCAAGAGCCTTGTCCAACATTGAAGCCGAAAAGGCTTCGAAAGTTGCACTTAATTTCGGCGCTCGGTATAATCTTACTGTTTACACAGAAAAAATTCCATATCCGTTAGATTTTGACCCCCCGAAGGGCTTCAAATTACGCACAAAAGTTTGTGCGGGACACAGTCACTTGGCCCTGCACTTCCTGGACTTTCCCATGAATCCGATACGGCGCGTTTTCGGGCCGCTTTTGGCTTCGATTTTGGCGACGGAAATTTTGGGCAATTTCGTGCGAAAAAAGGGGTTGAGTCAGGGGTAGTTTGAAGAGTCAAGATGAGATTTACATAAAAAATCAGACCTGATTTAAGCCTTTCTATTGTAGCAGTAGCAAAAATGATTATTTCAACTTTTTTGCCGCATAAAATACACTATGTTTTTTGCTAAAAATTGCCAATTTAAGACTTCCAAGAAAAAATTAAGGCCTCCAAAAAGTTTTACACTTAATTACCAGTCAATTATCAATGTCTAATTGCATTTCGGACGTCTTTTTTCGCCGACTCCATTCCGAATTATTTCTTTGGTCCCGCTTTCCCCCAGGGTCCAATCCCCGTTTTTCGTCCGCCAAAAGCGCGCAAAGCTCCCATGAGAGCCGTCTACAGTAACACATTTTCCGTTAGATTTCGTGATTCGCGGTAAGAGCATTTCCATGCACCCTTTTTTGTGGTAAATAGGCGGCCGAATTTTGGGCCGTAAATTGTGACAGTTATTATGTGCGGATATGGTTGATTGAACCGTGGAAAAGCGACAAGATTATGGGGACTGGAGGGGCAATTTAGCGGAAAATGAGCGTCAAATCGGGCGTTTCCAGGGAAGGGGGATACGGTAACGAAATTTTTGAGTAAGATAGGGTTCAAAAATTAATTTTTTCATAATTTCAAGGTCCGAAACAAATTTTAGAAATCTCAAAAATTTGCATAAATTTCGAAAAAATCGAAAAATTTGCATAATTTCTAATCTCAAAACATAAAAATTAGCTTCCAAACCGTCTAATATTAAAAACAAGACTTCTGAGGAATTTTTGATTACTGTAATTTCTATCGCAAACTCAAAAATTAGAAAAAATTTTGGTCCCCACTCGAGAAAATTATTTATCTTCCATTGGGTGCGACTAATCCTGTTTGTACTGTAAGAATATCTCTCCGACGCTCCCGTTAATGCTCTTATAAAATCCCCCCACCTCGAGAGAGTGGGATCACAAACTGAAGCCCCAAACTTTTGAATCGCACCGTGCAAAAACTCCGAAAAATTGCACAGTGCAAAAAATCTAAAAAAAATCGAATTTTTGAAAAATCTCAAAATCCCAAAAAAGGTGAATTAACTTACAAACTCATTCTTGTTCGTCATGTTATTGGTGACTTTGACTCGGGAGAAACTGGCGCCCTTTTTCATCCAGGTTTCACCGTCCTGAGGTGAATCCGGATGCACGTGGATTGGCTTGTGGACTTCGGGGTCCGCTTTGCCGGCCAGGCCCCATTTGGAGTTGTGGAATTTGTAGCGATGTTGGTCGACGGCGACAATGTCGAGCATCACAAAGTATTTGCTTTTGGGGTCGAGGCCCTTGATTTTCACTTTGACCGAGGGAAACATTCGTCTGAAAATAGGGTGGCATTCAATATGTGGAGTGAAATTTTGAGTTTAGATAGTAGAATAGGGTAGTATCTTTCTAACAAGGTCAATTACGGCTGAAAAAATCTATAGCAAAAATTTTTATAGCCAATGTTTTAAATAGTCAATTTTTGACCCATTATGAAAAAAAATGATCGTATCTTTACTGCGGACAGAGCATAGATACCACTTTCAAACTTACCGTCCACTTTTTGTGATGATCATTTCGTTTGTACAATCGCTAAACCGATCCCATAAATCCTTATCCTCCAACTCGATACTGGGATCATCTTTGACCCCATCGTCCTCATTGCTCCACTGCAAGCCCCCAAAAGGTGGCCCAGCCGGATTCCCACCCCTCATAAAAGGCATGGCCATCGGGTTGTTGGCCATCAGTTGGTGGGGCAACATCGGAAAAGGGAGCTGATTCTGCAGGAACGGGAACAACATCTGGAAGTCGGGATTGAGGCCGGGTAACGATGGCTGACTAGACGTGGACTGGCTGGATGTATTCATTCAACCTTGGACGTCCGAAGGGCAACGAAAATCCGACAAAATGTTTGGGGGCAAATCTTGACTAGAAATTGGATATTTGCAGTGTCCCGAAACCTGAAAGTCATGGGAATTTAGGGGTGTTAAGGGCTTAGTGTTGGCGAGAAATGATTTTGGTTGTCGCGTAGAGGAATATTACAAAATCTGAAACACATGTACACGCCAATGTTTTACACAAAATGTCATCAAAAAATCGAAAAGTGCAAAATGCTGATTAAAAGTTTGATAACACAAGAAAACCGGAAATTTTTGCATCAACATCCGAAGTTAATTAGCCCCAAAATGACAAGAGGTTTAGCACCGTGAACTGATTGACATTCGCGTGGCGGTTAGCGCCTTTGAAACGAAAGACAACGCCTTTACGGCCGGCGCCGGAAACGATCGAAGGGAGAGGGAAGAGCTTGTTAGTTTTAACACCTGGACTACTTTCAGATAAGACTAGAGCCAGAGGGTTGTATAACAGGCCCTTAGACTGACTAGGCGGTCTATAAAATACGATATTTAGCTGGAAAAAACGGAATTTTTTGAGGAAAAAAACGATTTTTCCTCAAAAAATCTTGTTTTTCAAATAAAAAAGTATATCATAATGATTTCGTATGCTCTTCAAAATAATATTGAAAATAAAATCATCACTTTTCCCACCCCCAAAGTTTCAAAAATTCAAATAAATTACCCATTTTCGCAGCGAAAATCTCCAAAATTTAGAACGCGCCGATTAAAATCAACAAAAGCTCAGTGTCGCGAAATAAAGTGTGACTTTTTTTGCACTAATCAAATTAATCGCGCCAGCAGAAAATTCAAATTAATTATTTTGACTAACGAGCCTCCGGTTGTTAACACATTTCTCACTTTGTCTCGGGCGAAACGCTTCAAGAAACGGGGCTGTTTATCAAATCGCCGGCAGGATTAGCAAGTGTGGGGGGTTTTTGGAGCGCCTACAGATGGGAGAAATGGGAGAATATGACAGTAAAAGAGGTGTACCGTAGGATTTCTGGGCATTTTTGGAGATGTTTTGATGTAAAATGGCAAACAAATAGCAAAAACTGAGGAATTATGGAAAGAAATTGTAAAATCATTATAAAATAGAAAATACTTTGGCCTAAAATATGTTTTACAATACCAAAACATGATGATTTCTATTCAATTTTAAACAAAAAATAGATTTTTTTACCATCCGACTACCTAAAATATCAAAACGCCCCCAAAAGTCATCAAAAATAGAATTGAACTTTCTAGACTAATGACAATCATTACGGATCTGACCTTAGAACACACCCCATACGTATACCATTTCTCGTCCCTTTCAAGCCTTTATATTCGAAAAACCCAATTCCGACCCCCCATAAAGCCGTCGCTTTCACGCGTCATCAGACCGCATAATCCTACCGTACTCCCCCACCACATCATGCCCGTCCTACCATAATAATAAATCTCCGGAGGGCCATAACCACCTTGAAGAGCGGCTTTTTGTCACCAATAGCGACAAACCTAGCACTCCGCGGCCCCAGCCCCGCCGCACTCCCGGTTTTGCCACTCCTTCAAGCGACTTTTCTCTCGCCGTCTACGAAAATTCAACGCTCTGTGGGGGCTGCTGGTCATGGGGAAGATTGTTATCTCTATGCCTGTCTTTTTGTCTGGCGCGCTTTCTTTTTCCCGCACTCTCTAACCTAGCTTCTCGGACTCCGATGCTTTCTTTTTTTCTCTACCGTCTACTTCTTTTTCGCACTCTCTTAACGTTTTTTATTTGTATCTAACAGATTTTCTCTGCCCAACCTCTCAATTCGGCGCGCTCTCTCGTCTCTCTCGGCCCTTTCGGCTTTTCTCCGCTCGTTCACTGCAACCCTCTTCTAAACGCCCGCTCTCTTCTCTCTCTTCGCACTTGACTCCTTTTCCTCTAACTCTCCCGCTGCTTTCCCACTTCCCACACTCTCTCATTTGTTTGCCCAAGAGAGAAAGAAGCCCGTCATTGGCCCCGCCCACTGTCTCTCCAAATCCGGTGGAGTGCGTCGCGCGCTGATTGGCTGGCGGTGGTTTGTCGCCGTTTGGCCGAGAAATCGGATCCCAGCGGCCACGGGTTGTTATAACAAATTGATCGACAGGTCGATTAAAGCCTGTTACAAGTGTCGGACAAGTGAAATGGGATTTTCAAACGGCATTTTGGCGGGAATTTTGAAAATGTTTGTTCGAAAATTGAAAAATTAATAAAAATTATCGGAAAATCAAGGTGTGGCTGTATAATGCATGGTAAAAATCTCTGACGTTTGTGAAAAATACATCACAAGTTTAGGTGAGGTCATAATTCATACGATTATTAAATAAACAAAGAGTGAAAAATTAAAAATATCATAAAAAATGTGGTAGTTTGGCGGCGAAAATCACAAAACGTGGTTGAAAAATTGATTCGGAAGAACTTTTCATGCCCTATAAATTATGTGGAAGCCACATGTCTGGTCTTATCACCACCGACTCAATTGATTACCCGCTTCCGAGGCGGGTGATCAAAAACAGAAATTAGTACGGCAAAAGTTGAGACCTCCAACCGTCGCTAATCCCCGCCGACACCAAGCCCTCGGCGCGGTTGTAAACACTTCCCCCTTTTTTCCCCAACTACTGATAAGCGGCGGGGCGAGAAAAATTGTCGCGATGATTTGCGATCGGAGCACTGAAAAAGCGGCGGCCCGCGGGCGAGACGTGCCGATAGGCTGTGTGACCCGGCCCTCGGGGCAAGTAGGGGAAGTGGGGAAGAGCCCCCAGGGCACCTGTCTTCTCACTTTCCCCACTTTTTTCTCACTCAAAACAAGCGTTTTTGGGCTCGCGTTGACGGCCGCTCCGCGAATGTCAACATACGGTGGATTTAGGGGAAATTGGCGGCGGAAAGGTATGGGGATGACAGAAGACGAAAGCTAGTATAGGTTTATGGCCTGCTTTAACGAGTCAACGACAGCTCCTCTCCGAATTCCAACAATTTTACGGTTCTTTTCACAAAAAAAGTGGGCCATAAAGCGGCGGCCGTCTCCGGATTCTGTCGCATCGTTAAAACCCTCTCCGGCCTCTTAACATCTCGGCCCATTCCTTGGGCCCATGCTCGGCCCGCAGATTTAACGACAAGTTTTACAACATGCCCTCGGGCGCCCCTCCTCTCCATCATCCTCATTTTTTATTATTTTTCGGGCCAATCCGGAAGAACCGCGGATTTTTATGCGGGGCCTTCTAGCCGCTTCGCCGGAGGGCCGGATGATTGACTCCACTCTCTCTCTAATGACACGAAAAAGGCCCGGCTTGCGGTCGGAATTGGTTATCGCCGGATGAGGGTGATATGTTTGGGGAAAAGTGGGGCAAAATGGAGGCAATGACACCATTCCTGGAGGCGGTAGAAGGTGATGGATGTGGGGAGAAGGCGCGTTTTGACGTGAAAATTGGGACAAGGTTGGAGAATGACGAAAAATTTGAGTGGCCAAAATGGGATGATAACTATAGCTGGCCTAGTATAATATAATTTTTTGGCCGTAAAATTATTCTATATCGAAAAAACAAGTAGAAATTAATTCTAGTAGACAAAATAGGTCCTAAAAAATTTATCCCTAAATATTTTTACCCCAAATCTCACCCACGGCAATCAAATCAACCAAAATTAAATTTTTTGCCCCTGAAATGAAGATCCACGTATTTTACCCCCAGAACCCCCAAAAAATCGATCGGTAACCAATCCGCTGTGAAGTCGGAAGAAGGAAACGCGTCCGGGTAATCGCAAAAGTTTAGAAAAAACTATTTGTCTTAACAACTTCTCACCCCAAACCCCGCCACTTCAAAGAGTCCACCTTTGCACTTTTTTTCGAATCTCTTCACACCCAATCGCTTCGAGAGGAAATCAATAATAACCCTCCGCTTACAAGCACGTCTGGTTTCGATTTTTTTTGGTTTAGGAGTTGTTTAAACAAATGTGTCCAGAAAATTTATGGCCAAGAGTTTTTTTTGGGGGGTTTGGGGATTTGGTGATGATTTTCGTTAATTTAGAGGGATTTCAGAGAGGCAAAGAAGATTTGGAATTGAGTGTTAAGAAGTGTAAAATACGTGGAGTCCTAGTGTATGCATATTTATTTAAAAAAACCTAGGGTTTGAGTCAAAAATTTATATTATACTAGACTAAGGATGTCACCCTTCAAAAAAGTTTGTTTTCGGTACTTTTCAGGCCCGTAAATTAGGAAATAGGTATTGTAAGAGCTATTTAGAATAATGGTGTATAAATAACTCATAAATTCTTTTACATATATTTTCGTTATCTATAGGATTTTCATTATATTACCCATGGCAAAAACTGTCGAATTTTTTACTTGCGTATGAAAAATCGTGTAAAAAAGTTGTTTTAAAATACGACAGATTGTATGGTACCTTACCTAGACCACTTTCTAGCCCTACAAGTCAAAAAAATTATATTATACATGACAAAAAATACGATTTTTTGAAATTTTAGACTAAAGAATGAATAAAAAGTAAAGGTAAAATACGTTAAAGTCAAATATTTTTTGTCATCGCAATAAATAATCTTTGTATTTGAGGTGAAAATTACATAATTCTCAAAAAAAGAACGAAAATTTTCAGCGATTTTTTTGAAGAAAAAACAAAAAAATCCTAAAATACGACAAGGTCAACACCCCCAAATCTCCCAAAACTTTCCAAAAAATACAGTACCCTCTTCACTATCAATTTCTACCCCGTTTTTATCGCCCCTCTCCCGCACCACACCTCTCCTTATGACCCGAAAACGGAAAGGAAATGAAGAAGCCCTGCGGCAATCTCAGCAAAATTGTCAAATTAAACACTCTCAAATGTGCCGCAAGACAAATAAGCGGTCGTTTTGACGTGTTATCAGCGGCCCCCAAAACTCGCGTCTAATTGCATTCGGGAGGCGACGAAAAACGGCCAATCCCCACTTTTTTCCGTGTTTATCGAGAAATGCGGACCAT